CCCCCCCAACTTTTTCGTTGTCCTTTTTTTTTTTTTTTTGTTGTTTTTCCCCTCGTCCTCGTGGGTTTTGTCGTGTCCGTCAGGAGTTGCAAAGGCCCCGGAGGCACCGGCAGGGGGGGTGGTGGGTGCCCCCCCGGGACCCCCCACTGCACTACTGCCCCGGCCCCCCGGCAGCAGCACTTTGGGGGGGCTGCACCCCCCAACCGCCCCCCCGATGCTCCCGGGGGGGCCGGGCTGAGGTGGGGGCCGGCAGGGGGAGTCCCACAGGGGGCTTTGAGGGGGGGGGGCACAGCTGCAAGGGGGCACCCGGGAATGGTTTTATCACCTTTTTCCGCCCCCCCCCCAAAATTTAGGTTTGTGAATTTTTTCTTACCTCAGGCGGAGGCCGAGGGGGGGTGCGGGCCGGGGGGGGCCGGCGAGGCAGGCCGGGCCCACCTAAGCTAATATATATATATATATATATATATATAAATATATATAAAATATATAATTTTTGTAATTAAAAAAAAAATCTTTTTACGGGTCGTTTAAAAGCAGAAAATCCCAACACCAGACACGTCCCCCCACAGGCACAGGGGGCCGGGCTGGGCTCCCCCCACACCCCAGACTCCCCCAACCATGGGGGTCGTGTCGGGGGACCCCGCCAGACCCCCTGCAGCCGGGTTGGGGGGCACAGCGGGGCTGTGGCACCCCAGGGTGCCCTGGGTGTGGGGGCGCCCGCCCCCAGCCCCAAGTACCAGCGCCGGATTTGACCTTGGTGCAAAATGTCTTAAACCCCGGCCCGGGTGCCCGGCTCGGGGGTCCCGGCAGCACCGGCTGCGGGCGGTGCAATAGGAGCCGAACACTAATGCCCGCAATGGGGGGCGCAGGGCTCGGGGGTTCGCCCCCCACCCCTGGCAGCACCGGCCCCAACACGTGCCTTCGGGCCACGGCTGGGGCCGCGGCACCCGGGGGATGTCGGTGGTGCCGTGACCGTGGTGGTGCCGTGACCGTGCCGGTGCCGTGGCCACGCGTGCTGGGCGTTGTGCCAGCGCCGTGGCTGTGCCGTGTCAGCGCCGGTGCGAGGCACGTTGGTGCAATGCCGGTGCCACGGCCACGCGTGTCGGCACCGTGGCCGTGCCGTGTCAGTGCCATGGCAACTCCTGTTGGTGCAATGATGGCGCGGTGCCGTGGCCGTGCCATGTCGTGGCCGTGCCATATCGTGGCCGTGCCGGTGCCGGTGCCATGGCCGTACCATGTCGTGGCCGTGCCGGTGCCGTGTCCCCACGTACACTCCGTGTGACACCGCGCGCTCCCGCCGCGACACGGCAGCGCCGTCGCGGGACGTGTCTTAATCAGCCCCCGCCGTGACCCCCCCACCCCGAGCGGCCACACGGGGCAGCTTGTCCCGGGGTGGGGGGCTCAGCCCGGCCCCCCCCACCCGCTGCCCCCCGCACGCCCCCCCAACCCTGTACTCCCCCCCCCTCCCCGTGCCCCTCCCGGGCCGTCCCCGCGTCTCCGTCTCGCGTCGCCATCGCACGTCCAGCATCCAGCGTCGGTCCCGGGGGGCCACACCGGTGCCCCCCACCCCTGCGCCACCTCCCCCGGGCCACCCCCGCCCCGCGTCCCCCGTCCCCGCGCCCCCCCCCCCCCCCCCCCACCCCCAC